GAAGAGGACATGAAGAGGACAGAAGAGGACATGAAGAGGACATGAAGAGGACATGAAGAGGACAGAAGAGGACATGAAGAGGACATGAAGAGGACATGAAGAGGACAGAAGAGGACATGAAGAGGACATGAAGAGGACATGAAGAGGACAGAAGAGGACATGAAGAGGACATGAAGAGGACAGAAGAGGACAGAAGAGGACATGAAGAGGACATGAAGAGGACATGAAGAGGACAGAAGAGGACATGAAGAGGACAGAAGAGGACATGAAGAGGACATGAAGAGGACATGAAGAGGACATGAAGAGGACATGAAGAGGACAGAAGAGGGAGGCAGACATCATAAACATAAAGCACACACTCAACACAGATGGTCACAGAAACATGTTTCAGATAACAACACAAACACGTGGTCATAATAAAGAGATCTTAAATGTATTTTTAATCYAGACAGCCTTTCTGTTTCATTTGTCTTGAGTTAACATTTCAACAAGTCAGAATGAAATTCAAAATATCTTGAATTGTTATTCTGTGGAAAACATCACAGATTTATAGAATTTTAGAAGAAAGCCACGTTAGTCTGACCTTAATTTACTGTTCAGTGCTGTGCAGTGTCAGGTCAGTCCCACTCAAATTCTTCTGTTTTTAACGGGATTTTTCTCTGCAGGTCGACATGAATTAAGAAACAGAGATAATTTATTGTTTGTCATTGCAGACTCACAAAACTGTGCAGGCAGCAGCTGCTGCRGAGGACTGACCTTCAAATGACCGATCCAACCATGTCATTTCAGATATTTTCAATGTTTGACATGTCAGAACGTGAATGCAGATATCTTAMATTATCATTCAGGATGGTCAAAATGTAACTGTTCATGGTCAAAACTCATTCATGGATATCTAGAATGTATGCTAATTTTATGTTAAATGGCCTGCCATACTTGGCCAAAAAATACCATCAAAACCACAGCAGGCCATGTATGAATACTAAAAACAGAACCTAAGGTATTTATACTATGATGTGGCAGGTATCAGCTGACACGGTTCCTTCCAGTTGTATCAGTAATAATCAATATTTGGATCGATCCGCTCACCACTACTGAAGGTTAGAGGTGGGTGATACGGGGAGTTTGGTTCTGATGTGATACAAAGTAAATAAAAGGTTYGTTTCAATGGTTCTGATGCTGAAACTGTTGAACTTGAAATGTCACGATCACTGAATAATTGTTGTCCTTTGGTTAGTCCATTATGATCAAACAAAGGACAATTTTAGGTTAATCAAAATGTTTTCTAAAAACTGGAGGAACTAGTGCAAAAATAACAAGAAAACAAGAATGCAACAATAAATGTAACAATTTCATGACACAAAAATGCCTGCTGATCAGGGGGCGGAGCTTTGGGGGGGCTGGGAGGGCAGCACGCCCCCAACCCGGGCCCAGAGTGAGTCCAGTGTTGCCAGACGTACAATAATTATCGTATTTGTACGATATTGCCCTCTGTACGATGTACGATCAATAACTCCAAAAACCCACATTATACGATCATTTGACCGTTTCAGTGTGTGATGTAACACTGGACACACAACTCGCTGACAGGTTGTGGAACACAGCCGTGCCAATTTAACAACTTTGTCGCTGTATTCACAGAGTTTTCAGACCCTGTAGAGACTGTTTAACAGAAAACAGTGAAAATCTGTCGACACTGTTCTGGTGTTGTTGAGACTCTGACATGAAGGCAGCAGGTCCTGCTGAGAGCTCCTCCCTGGTCCCGGTCTCTGACAGGAGGCTTCTTCACACTGTGTCCCTCCCTGCTGCAGGTACATATCTATCCTGCCCCGGACTTCCCCAGGGGCTTACAGGGTTCAAGCCCAGGGCCCCGGCGCTTTGGGGGCCCCGCCCCAGAATAACATTTTATTTTTTTGTGAATGAATAGAACCAGGCGCTGAATGTTTTGTCCGTAGCCCCGGATCAAAATGAGACCTGGTCTCTGACTGCCCGCCTCTCCTCCAGGAGCAGGACGGGACGATTGCGTCATCGTCTGTGTGTGTGGGAGGAGGGAGACGGCTTTTTTTTCCACCAGCATCTCTCAGCAGCGGCTCACCTCAGCCCCCGAGCCACCGGCCCACGAGATGCACCACCGGCCCAGGCGCAGGTCAGAGGGCCGGTGGTTCAGTCCACGAACCGGCCCACAGGCTGAAGTGAACCTAGACTGAACCACCAGTCTGACGCACGGTTCATCTGCGCAGGGCGAGCGCRACATCAAGGAGCGACAGTTTCTGGGGTGCTGATGTTTTCCTGGATTCATTGTGCTCTAAACGATGCCATACCAATGGCTTCTCTACCTGTCCTCAGCACGGGTCGGCCCGATCAGACCGCACAGCTGATTGCACTGCAGGGTGCCACCTGAGCTGACGATGAAGAGCGGAGATCAGAAAAACTAGTCCCAATAACTGAGACTTGTTTGTTGAACATAACTGATTTTATCAAACAGGAGCAGGATAAAGRGYATTATACAGGTATGGTTCTTCTGGATCTTCAAAAACCATTTGATATGGTAGATCATGAAATCTTACTACAGAAACTTCAAGCTTTGGGTTGTCATACTTCACTTACTAACTGGTTTCAATCATGTTTGTTTGGTCAAAAACAGTCAAGATAGGAGGCATAGTTTCTGACTCAGTTAATACTACAAAGGGAGTGCCGCAAGGGTCAGTTTTGGGCCCTTTGCTGTTTTTAATATATGTTAATTATATCCCTTCAGCAGTTCACTGTAAAAAAATGTATATGCAGACAACAGCACTGATGACTTCAGGAGACAACACAGAGGACATTGAGAAAACACTTTCCTCAGAGATGGATTCTGTTAGAGAATGACTAATTGATAATAGGTTATCCTTACATAYGGGGAAAACGGAGTGTATACTCTTTGGCTCTAAATACAAAATTTGCCAGAAGAWTAGTATGCAGGTACAATGTGGAGGAGACTTATTAAAATCTCAAAAGGTGGTGAGAAATCTTGGTGTCAAACTTGACCAAGACTTATCTGGGACAGAGGGTTAGGGTTAGGGATCAGAACCATATAGGAGTAGCCTGTCCCTTTAACATATGCCATGAGGTGGAGTCAGGATGTGAAGGCGGCTGTTACTTGATGTGTGTTTCCAGGTTTCTGGGCACTGCTTGGCTGAAGCCTGTTGAAGGCACAGTAAAAAGCTAGACAGTCCACAGCTGTGTGTGAATGGTTTTGTATGGCTCACTCAAACATTCACGTCATTATTATTACCTGGTATCAGATCAGAACAGGTAAAGGGTAACGAACACTGCTTACATTTTAACAGTCACACACTGCAATCTATATTTATATTGTTCAAGGGAATGAATACATCGTTTTCTCAAACAGGACTTTAGAGTACAACTAGAATACGTCCTGGAGGAACTCTGTCACATGCCATCCAATTTAAATGAAGAATTTAATCTACTGWTTGTTAGAAATCATTGTGATCTACTACCATCCCACTTTTGAGCCCAATATGTCTGAAAGTGGCTGAGTTATGGTCAGTCTTGCGTTTCAGCTATGACGGCAATCTTGGATTTTTCATTTGACTTCAGTATGTAATGGAGATCCTTAGTTGTCACCACACCACATTTTAGCCCAAAATGTCTTAAAATGGCCGAGTTATTGCAGTTTGAAATTAGGTCTGGTGGCCATCTTGAACTTGTTTAGCATTCAGTATTTGTCAAAGCTTGTTCTTGGCTACTACTACAGCAGTTTTCAGCTCTGTAAATCTTACCAGAGAAACTGGTTGAATTCACTGAACTCCTGCCACCTCCAAGCCTTTGAGTCAACAACAACTTAGGGCTAAAGCTAACCCTAACCCAACAGCAATTGTTTTAGGAATGAACATCCCAGCAAATTCACCCCAAAGGTCAGACCATGCAAAGGTCAGTGTAACGGGCTCCATCTTAGACAAGGCTCAACAGATTAAAGGTTATGACAGGATGCTGGACAATCGGGTAGACTTCACTCACTGTTTCAGTGCTTTTATTTAATCAATAATAACAAGTGGTACCATGTAAACCGATCCAAATGTTTGAGATGGGTTCTCTTCCATCAAATGATAGAACTCATAAACGTCAACCTCTGAAAACTTTAAAAACCAAACTCAGCCTGATGTTTTTATATGAGAAAATTCTTAATTACAATCTTATGTATTGATCACCTTATGAAGATAAACACCAGAGCAGCGTCGCTGTCTGAAGGAAACATGATGTCATCAGATGATGTCATCAGATGATGTCATCAGAACAGCATTACTGTCTGAAAGGAAACAAAGCAGTGAGATGAAGGGAGATGTTCCTCAGGATGTAGAAATAAAATCATGGAGTCTGAAGAGGAGAGGAACAGATGAACGAGTGCTGAGTTTCAGCTGAACAGTTTGTAGAAATCCATCTTTTGGGGTTTTCAACGAGGATACAGTCTGACCCAGCAGGAACCCCCCCAAGTCTGACAGCAGAACCATCAGCCCACATCCAGGAGTCCAGACCATCAGAAAGACCTGAAGAGAAAAAAAAAACTGAAATCAGATAAATGAATCAGGAGTCACTGATCTGATCTGGATCTATGAGTTCTTCAGGATGTGAGCTGTCAGCAGACAGAAGTTAAAAAGATAAAATWAGCTTGACCCACTGATCCAGAATGGTTTCTTCCCTGTGAACTTCCACATCCAGCCGACGTCTCTTCTGGACCGAACACTGCTCAGGCTGCTGTTGAAGCTGAAGGAAAGGAGGAGCATCAGTGTGACAAAAAACAGAGGTCTGAAGGATTAACCATCTTCTGTATGTTTAGATTAGGTAACCCCAACAACCAGCTGGTAATCTGGATTATTTTATCCAACATCCAACTGGATTTCTGGATTATCTGACCCAACAACCAGATGGTTATCAGGATTAACTGATCCAACAACCAGATGGTTATCAGGATTAACTGATCCAACAACTAGCTGGTAATCAGGATTACCTGACTCAACAACCACATGGTTATCTGGATTACCTGACTCATTAACCAGCTGGTTATCTGGATTAATTTAACCAACAACCAGCTGGTTATCTGGATTACCTGACCCAACAACCAGCTGGTTATCTGGATTAATTTAACCAACAACCAGCTGGTTATCTGGATTACCTGACCCAACAACCAGCTGGTTATCTGGATTAATTTAACCAACAACCAGCTGGTTATCTGGATTACCTGACCCAACAACCATCTGGTTATCTGGATTACCTGACTCAACAACCAGCTGGTAATCTGGATTACCTGACCCAACAACCAGCTGGTTATCTGGATTAATTTAACCAACAACCAGCTGGTTATCTGGATTACCTGACCAAAGAACCAGCTGGTTATCTGGATTACCTGACCCAACAACCATCTGGTTATAACTCAAGCTCTTCATACTCTTGTGTTTGACAGTGGAACCTTCCCACCTGATGACTCAGGTCAACAGAACCCAACAGAAAACATCAGTATATTTACAGAATAGAGCAGGTTCTGTCGGCGCTGGCCCAGCTGGCCACAGATGGACTGATGATATAACAGCGTCTCCTGTAGACCGTCCAACCAGCAGGACAGAAGGTGCTGACCGACTGGGTCATCTAAGAAAGAGCAGAAACAGAATTTACTTCACTTGCATGAAAACCTTTACGTGGATCAGACTAACATAGACCCTCTTCAGGACAGAGGGGGGAGAGGGGTTTGCTCGTGAGTTCAGCTTAGTACAGTTTAGGTTTTGGATGGAACTGAGAGTCTGAACTCCAACAACCTAAAAGATTAAGATGGATTATGGCAGTGGTGCTTGGTCCTGGTCTTCAGGGCCACAGTCCTGCTTGTTCTAAATCACTCCTTGCTCTTCAGCAGGTCTTCAAGTTCTGCAGAAACCAGGTGGGTCACAATGCAGAGAAACTTCTAAAACATGCAGGACAGTGGTTCTGAAGGAGCAGGACTGGACACTCTGGTTTTATTTCAGGTTTCAGGAGAACCCGATCCTCCTTAAACCCAGACTTGGGTTCCTCAGAGGTTCTACTGTTCCATCAGTAACAACAGATTTAACCAGGCTGTCCTTGAGTCTGTGGGAACCCTCACCTTCTGTCCTCCTCCTCTGAACCCAGAACCTCCAGACGTCTCAGAGGTCGGTCTCAGCTGACCCCCSCTGTGGAGGGTCTCTCTGTACTGGGGGGGCGCCTGGTCCTGTGGTTCCACCTCTCTGTAGTCCAGGGAGAAGTGGCGGTTTGGGACATCTCCTCTGGGAGGGTGGGGCTGGTTCTCCCACAGAAGTTCTGTCTCCATGTCAATGACTAAGTCCTCCTCCTCTGGCTGATGGGGGGCAGGGATCTGAGGAGGACCAGGAGGGGTCTGGTGGTCCTCCACCTTCATGTTGTCTGGATCACACCTTCCTGTCAGAGTTCAGGCTTTAAGTCAAACAGATTCTGACAAGGTTCTAAGCAGGTTCTACCTGAAGGCCACAGGCTGCAGCTGGACCACCTTAAACCCACCTCTCCTGGGGTCAAGGATCTCCACCGTTGCAAACGTTCTCTGTCCCAGAACTGAGTTCTGAGGGTTCTTCAGCTGGACCCTGAAGGTCTCGTGGTTCTCCTCCAGACCATCATCAATTAGGAAGATAGTCCAGGCCTTTACATTCACACCTGACCCAACAGGAGGACCAGAATCACACCGCAGAACCAGAACCTTCAGGAGAAGCTCCAACAGTCAGGAAGGTAGAAAAGAACTCACCCGGGTCGAACTGGACCAGACCAGCTGAGCTGTGGGTGAAGTCTCTGCCTACTTTGGCTGACCCGTTCTGCACCTGAACCCACCAGAACACAAAAACCTTTACTGGGTTGGATCTGGATCTGGTCCTACAACATGAGGCCTGAAGCTTTAAGCACCAACAGGAACAACAGACCCAGTTTGTTCTGGTTCAGATGGATCAGAACCAGAAACCCGTTAGCTCAACTGACAGACTGTAAGCAATCGGACCATCAGGGTTCTACTCCTGGAGAACCAGATGTTGGACTGTGGAGGAGGACTCACCTGAATGGAGACGTAGGCCGGGTCCATGCTCCTGCCAGTCCTCTGGATCTGGATCTGCAGAGTCCCTGAAGTCTCACAAGTCCTGTAGCAGGTCGCTGACAGCTGGACCCGGGACCAGAACAGCTCCAATCTGCAGGAGACCCAAACATCAGCAGGTTCCAAGAGGAACCCATCAGAATAGGAAGGATCTGAGGAGACCCACCTCTGAGGTGGGGCAGAGTTCCCTGCAGGGTCTCTGAGACAGAACTCAAAGCTGTCAGAAGTCCTCTCCTGGTCCGACGGAAGGACGAAGACCACATGTCCCAGGTCCACATCCCGCTGAGTGAAACGGGTTCTGATGGAGACTCCTGCAAAACCAGAGGACAGGTTCAGTTCTGCTGAGGAATATGTAGGCCGCCATAAACCTGTGAGGACCACAGAGACCTGTGAGGACCACAGACCTGTGAGGACCACAGACCTGTGAGGATCACAGAGACCTGTGAGGACCACAGAGACCTGTGAGGACCACAGACCTGTGAGGACCACAGACCTGTGAGGACCACAGACCTGTGAAGACCAAAGACCTGGGAGGACCACAGAGACCTGTGAAGACCACAGACCTGTGAAGACCACAGACCTGTGAGGACCACAGAGACCTGTGAAGACCACAGACCTGTGAAGACCAAAGACCTGTGAGGACCACAGAGACCTGTGAAGACCACAGACCTGTGAAGACCAAAGACCTGTGAGGACCACAGAGACCTGTGAAGACCACAGAGACCTGTGAAGACCACAGACCTGTGAGGACCACAGAGACCAGTGAAGACCACAGACCTGTGAGGACCACAGACTTGTGAGGACCACAGAGACCTGTGAGGACCACAGAGACCTGTGAGGACCACAGAGACCTGTGAGGACCACAGAGACCTGTGAGGACCACAGAGACCAATGAGGACCACAGAGACCTGTGAGGACCACAGAGACCAATGAGGACCACAGAGACCTGTGAGGATCACAGAGACCTGTGAGGACCACAGAGACCAATGAGGACCACAGAGACCTGTGAGGACCACAGAGACCTGTGAGGACCACAGAGACCTGTGAGGACCACAGAGACCTGTGAGGACCACAGAGACCAATGAGGACCACAGAGACCTGTGAGGACCACAGAGACCTGTGAGGACCACAGAGACCTGTGAGGACCACAGAGACCTGTGAGGACCACAGAGACCAATGAGGACCACAGAGACCTGTGAAGACCACAGACCTGTGAGGACCACAGACACCTGTGAGGACCACAGAGACCTGTGAGGACCACAGAGACCT